TGGAGAAACGCGAGGAGTTTGGTGAAGTTAACGCCATGAGCCTGAGGGGTGGGAGAGGTAAGGCTGGAGCAAGAGACAGGGCAGGGACCCCCACCTGCGTGCCTCGGTTATACTGTCATCTCTGCCTGAAACACCTTTTTCCCGTCTGCCAGTCAAATTTCCATCCATTCTTCAAGGCTCAGCTGGCTGCCACCTCCTCCAGAAAGGCTTCCTTCTTGCCCTCATGCCTGCCCTACTCCTGAATGCTGTTTTCCCTCTTCTCTGCTCTCACGCAGCCCTGTGCACACCCAAATCCTTGCTTGGACCACGTGGCTTTGCAGCTGTAGAGGAGTGAATGAATGAACGAATGAATGGATGAGCCTTCATCGATGTGTGAAACTGAGCAGTGGAGAGGAATAAGCGAATGGGTTTTTTTTTATGACTCTTGCTCTCTGGGCTACTTAAATATTCATAAGGATGTTTTCCTCCCGAAGGTGAAAAGCAAACAAACAATCCCCTTAGGATTCACGGACCGAGATGGGATTGTTCGCTCACTCGCTCACGCACGCGTTCATCCGTGGGATCGGCAGGTGCAGATTAACTGCCGGCCCTGCGTCAGGCCCGCACCAGATGCTGGAGCCACATGGAAGGAGCCACTCAAGGTGTACGGTCTGGTGGGGGACGGGCAAGTAAGAAGCAGCATGGTGCAGGCATTTTGAAAATGCATCACACGGCAGTGCTTTCACAAGGGGACTTGGGCCTCCCTGGATGACCAGCCCAGCTGAAGCCAGGGGTGCGGGTCTCTGGCCACAGCATGGAGCACAGAGCATGGGATGGATGTTGAGTGAGACGTGTGTGGGACATCTTGGTGATTTATGTCATTCTTCCTGGTTATCCAGGGAATCTGCGCCTAGAGCAGAACCTTTAGGAGGGGGAGGATGGGCACGCAGGAGCCAAGCCGGAGGAGCTCCTGACGGCCAGAGATGGAGCAGTGGGAGAACCAAGATACCGAAACAGTACAGAGCACAGCTCAAAGTGTAAATAAATATCCACGAGTCACAGTGAGAGAAACAAACGATTAAATAAGTAAATAATGGGGGAGAAGAGACAAATCTCCCATGCAGAAGAATTCCAGGTAATTTTCGTAGATATTCCTTGTTCATAAGTGTGGTTAGGTGTGGTCTGCACGGTGACTTCCTTCCCGAGAGTTCTGTGTGGAGAGGGGACAAAAGTGACTGTGCAGCAGAGAATCCTGACAGAGGCCACCCTGGCATCTCCATCTGCACTAAGTCCTGGTGACGGTGCAGACCCTGGTGCGATGTGATGAGGACGCCTTAGCCTCTGGGGTCTTCCTCCCGAAACCATGACAACCCCTGTCTAACCGTGAGGAGCACTCCAGACAGACCCAAACGGAGGTGCATTCTGCAAAATCCCTGCCCAGTGCTCCTCAAGACCGTCAAGGTCATCAGAAGCAAGGAAAGTCTACGAAACTGTGACAGCCAAGAGGAGCCAACGGAGATGTGAAAACTAAATCCTGGGTGGGTCCTGGAACAGAAAAAGGAAAACCTCGTGAAATCTAAGCAAAGTATGGTATTTAAATAATGCTTCTGTGCTGATTGATGTTGGTTCGTTAGTTGTGACAGATGTGCCACACTACTGTAAGACTTGTGTGTGGTACACAGGAACGCTCTGGACTGTCTTTGCAACGTTTCTGCAAATCTGAAACTATTCTAAAATAAAAACTTTGTTTAAAATGAAAAAATAAATCCCTTCTAACCCCACCACTTAAAACCAACCACGATAAAGTCCCCCTGTGTTGCCTTCCATTCTTATTTCTATGCATGTCCACTGACAGAATTACACCTGCGTCCCTATACGCTTACCTGCCATCGACGACACTGCCTTATGATTTTGTCAGTGTAAAATGTATAGAAACTGTACCTCCTTGTGATTTTGCACCTGCTTTCTCTCACGAGCACATAAGTGCCCTTGTCACGAAGCATTCTTTGCAGACATTATTGCACGGTCTGCGGCTCCCCGACCATTCTTCAGTCCTTCCCAAATTTCTCCTGCGTGAAACCCGCACCGGGAGGAGCATCTGAACACACTTCTTTGTCCCCATTTCAGGGTCAGTGTTGTCCAAGGAGTCGGTCTCAAAGGATACCATGGGGTCTCCTTCAGGCCCTTGGTTCGCTGAAGGCTTTTGTGTTAGAGGAGACTAATTAATGTACCCGAGAAGCTCATTAAGGTTTCCCTGGAAAGAAGGAGCGTACCGGGTGAGCATCCGTCCGTGGAAAGGCAGGCACTTTGTGCAACCTATTGATTTTGCTCTGTGTTCTTAATTGTCTTCTGGAGATGTCTAAAGGTTTGGGAAGGCCACTGTGGTGGCCCTGCCACTGCCCAACGCCCTCCCCAGGAAGGCAGTGCTCATCTCCCCAGGCCAGTCCCAGCCTCACCCAATGCCAGGCCTGGCTAAATGCCCATCCTGCAGCATGGCCAGGAGCAGGGCCCTGGAGCCAGATGCTCAGATCCCAGCCTTAGTTCCCTCCTGCCTGGCGTGTGACCTCAGCAGCTTGCTTCACCTCTATGCCTCAGTTTCCCCATCTAGCAAGCAGAAATAATAGTATGGTGAGAACCACCTCACAGGGCTCTATGAAGACAGCCTAGTCACACTCATAATAAACTTTGATTGAAAGCTCACTCGGTGGTGCCTGGTGCCTTGGGAAAGGAGCAATGTTATTTTCCCCATTTTACAAATAAGGAAACTGAGGCACAGAATGGTCAGTAAACTTGCCTGTGGTCACACAGATGTGAAATTTGAACCAGGCTATGTGGAGACTGAGTGTGTGCCCGTAGTCTCCTACTGTACAAGCACACGGTGACCATTCGTTCATACGTTCCCTCTTTCATTCATTCAACAAATGTGTGGCATCCCCACCCGCATCAGGCGCCAGGCCCTGCAGGGACGGGGGAGGAGGAGTACAGCTCAGACGTGGCTGACAGGGCTGACAGTTCCTAAGGAAGAGGCCACCCCTCTGTGGAATGTGGTGGGAGGATTCCCTGTGGCCTTGTGGCAGGGGGCTCGACCCTGCCCAGGGGTACAGGAGGCCCACCTGAGGACGGGAAGCTCAGTGGGGAGTGAGCAATGAGAAGGGGCCAGACGGGTAGGGGAGCGGCCGTGTGTCAGAGTGGAGCGGGCTGGCTGGGGTCCGGGAATGGGGACAAATAGCAGGAGGGAGGCCAGCAGGGAGGCCGGTCCTGGAATGGCCTAAGGAACCACCTGCGGAACTCGGATGTCTCCCAGGGGCCATGAGGAGCCATGAGGGATTTCCCAAGGTCTGTGTTTATGAAAGTGGACCCAGATTCCCGAGTGGGGAATGGATCCTCAGGGTGCGGCTGCAGGGCCTGCCCACCCCACCCATGCTGCAGGGGGGCGCTGAGCCACTTGGATGCCTAGGGCCGCAGGACCTACCCCCACCCCGATGGCTGACCCAGGCTCGTGGCCCCTCTGCACACCTCTGAGCCCTCCTGTCACCCCTAGTGTGGGCAGCAGGGTGAGAGTGGTCCGACCCTTGGCCCCGTTTTCCTGACCCTTCTGTAAGACAGACAGAAAGTCCACGCAGCCCGGGCTTGCGTGGCTGAGTGAACGAGAAGCTGGTATGCAAGCTGGATGTTGAAAGGAGCCACAGGCGGCGTCCCCAGAGCAGGACACTGCCACACAGCACAGCTCCGTGGACTCCCCGATGCGTCACTGGTGGAACAAACAGGCCCCATTGCGACTTCCCCCACAGTGGCCCTTGAAGGAGCAGATGCACGCTGTGGGACTGTCCATCACCCACCTCATGGGCCCACTCCGGCGTGTCCTGGCCTCCTGTCATTTCAAGTGCATGACGCTAACGTTTGGTGTAGAACCAGCAGATGGAAAGATATGGATGTCCCAAATCCTGTCACGCTGCAAATCCAGCCTGGGTGAGGTGGCCCCATCCTAAATGACCTGCTGCTGTACAGGCCCTTTGTGACCCATCCCCACCAGTAGCCATGTGGATGTTGAAAAAACAGAAACCAGGTCACGTCCCCCTGTCCTCACGATAGCAGAGGCCTGGCCTTCCCCCTTAACAGCAGGACCCCCACTGCAAGCTCTCACCAGGACTGCGTGTGTTTCCTGGGGCTGCCACAGCAAAGGCCCGCAAACGGGGGCCGAGAGCCACAGAAACATGTTCTCACGGTCTGGAGGCTGCAGGTCCAGTCGAGGGTGGGCAGGGAAGCTCCTCTGCAGGCTTGTCCTCTGCCGCTTCCAGCTCTGGCGTTCCGTGCATGTACACACGTGTCTCCAGCCTCCCTGTTCAGGTCCCCGCCTTCTCTGTGACTCTGTCTTCCCCTCTTCTTACAAGGACACCAGTCGTTGGATTTAGAACTCACCCTAAATCCAGAATGGTCTCATCCCGAGGTCCTTAACTAACACCATCTCCAAAGACCCTACTTCCATGGGAGGGCACATTCATAGGTACCACGGGTTAAGATGTTGCCACATCTTCTCGGGGGCACCATTCAACCCGCTGCAGTGCTCTCCACGGCCTGCAGGCTTCACCCCGCTGCTGCGGCAGGCCCGTCTCCCCCTCTCACCCCCTCAGCCGGCCCCCGAGCTCCCGTGTCATGGCCTGGCTCAGCGCTCTCCTGCCCTGAAGGTGGCCCCACCGCTCTGGTCACCCTCCTCCTCAGCCACTCCTGTCCTGCTTTGCTTCCTTCAGGGCGTCGGTCGTCCCTGTAATAGTATTTCAGACATGGTTGTTGACATGCTCAGCGTCTTGGCTCCCTCCAGAATGGATTCTCATTCTCGGCAGAGACCTTGAGCCTCGTGATCACGGCCTAGTCTCTGCATCAGAGCAGTGCCAGGCGCCGGGCACTCCGCGAATGAATGGATGGATGGATGGTCGGCACGGAGCCGCCGGGTGCAGGCGGACCAGCGGTTCCTGCTGCACGCTCTCCCGGCCAAGGCCTCACATCCCCTCTTTGTGTTTCAGATCATCCTGGTGAGCTCTTCACTCAGCGAGCGGGACCAGAGCCTCTTCCTCAGCACGGACGAAGGTGCCACCTTTCAGAAGCAGCCCATCCCCTTCTTTGTGGAATCTCTGATTTTCCACCCCAAGGAGGAGGACAAGGTCCTGGCCTACACCAAGGAGAGCAAGGTAAGAAGGCGCTGGGGCCACGCCTGCTCTGGGGGGCTGTGTTTACGTCATGACGGAGGAAGCCTTTTCTGAGCAGGTGGGACTCAGAGCCCTGGGCTGGCTGAGGGGGAGCCTCCGGGGCTCGGAGGCGCTGGGCCCCATGATCGCCCTTCCTGTGGTCCACGTGTCAGCTGTGGGGAATGCCACCTGCACGGCTGTGCTGCTGTGGATAAGGAAGGTGAAGCTGGCACAGAGAGGCCTGAGAGCCGGGGCCATGGGTAGCAGATCATTATTAGGATTGTTGCACACCGCCTCCACCCTGCACACCAGCTGAAAGGGCCTTCCTCTGTTTCTGGGACATTCCACACACGCTCCCGTGCCAGGCCTTGCCAGGCCTTTCCCTCAGCCTGGAATGTTCTTCCACCTTCACCAAGGAAAGTGAACCATCTAGATCCCAAACCAGCATCCCCTCCTCTGGGCACTGTGTCCCCCAGAGAGAGTGATGGAGAGCTCTTCACAGGGGTGCAGCGTGGGAAGCCCAAGGGGCCAGCATGGAGGAGGCGGTGTCAGCAGGGGGCTGGGCCCATCGAGGTCCTGAAGGGATGAGGAGGATGAGGCCACAGGCTGGGAAAGGCCAGGAGTGGTGCGGCCGCCACAGCTGTAGGAAAGGGCCTTCGTTAGTGTCCTGCGGCCACTGCAACAGAGCACTGCAGACTGGTGGCTTAACGTGACAGAAATGTATGGGCTCACAGTTCTGGAGGCCAGCAGTCCAAAATCAGTTTCACTGGGCCAAAATCAAGGTGTCTGCGGGGTTGTGCTGCTTCTGGAGTGTCTAGGGGAATCCCTCCTCGCCTGCTCCAGTTCCTGGTGGCTGCCGCTGTTCCTTGGCTTGTGGCCGCATCACTCCAGTCTTAAGGGCAGCACCTTCAAACCTTTCTCTGCTCCATCTCCGTATCGCCTGCTCCATGTCTGCATGCACACGTGTGTGAGAGTGTCAACTCTCCCTCCATCCCTCCCTTTTATAAGGACACATGTGATTGCATGTAGGGCCCCGCAGATAATCTTCACATCTAAACACTGGCAAAGTCCTTTTTTGCCCTAGAAGGTAGCAATCGCAGTTTTAAAGAATAGGACGTGGGTACCTTTTGGGGGGCAGTTTTCAGCCTCCCACCATGCCCAATAAGATGGATGGGCTCCATAGTGGCAGGAAAGGGCCCAGGAGGAGGCCTGGCCCTGGTTACAGTAGCTCAGCCCCTGCGGAAGTGTGGTTGAGCAGTCAGGGAGCAGGAGGAACAGCACCCCAGCCTCTCTCCTCCCGCCCTCCAACCTTCTGCTACTGCCTCCCACGGGCAGAATCCACCCAGCCCGTGGAACAGGGCCCACCTGGATCTGGGCAGCAAATGGGGGCTGTCCAGGCCAGCGTGGGCCCCACCGTTCCACACTCCTCCAGATTCCTGTGCCTCTCTTTTCCAGCTCTGATGGCAGTGTGTAATTATATGTATTTGTGCTATTATTTGGTTGTTATCTGCACCCTACACACATACTCAGGGTCATCTCCTTGAAGGTAGGGACTGTATCTGATTATTATTGTTATTGTTATTTTACCATTTTAGTCTCAACTACCTGGCTGAAAATATTTGTTGGATGGAGGGATGGAGTAATGGGTGGGGGGTGGATAGGATGGATGGATAGATGGATGGACGATGGATGGATGGGTGAGTGGATGGATGGATGGATGGATGGATGGATGCATGGGTGGATGAATGGATGGATGGATGGACGATGGATGGATGGATGGATGGATGGATGGATGGATGGATGGTGGATGGATGGATGGATGGAATGGATGGATGGATGGATGGATGGATGGTGGATGGATGGATGGATGGAGGATGGATGGGTGGATGGAGGATGGATGGATGGATGGGTGGATGGAGGATGGATGGATGGATGGATGGATGGATGGATGGATGGATGGATGGATGGGTGGATGGATGGATGGGTGGATGGATGGGTGGATGGATGGGTGGATGGATGGATGGGTGGAGAGTGGATGGATGGATGGATGGGTGGATGGATGGGTGGATGGATGGGTGGATGGATGGATGGGTGGATGGGTGGATGGATGGGTGGATGGATGGGTGGATGGATGGGTGGATGGATGGGTGGATGGATGGGTGGATGGATGGGTGGATGGATGGGTGGATGGATGGGTGGATGGATGGGTGGATGGATGGGTGGATGGATGGGTGGATGGATGGGTGGATGGATGGGTGGATGGATGGGTGGATGGATGGGTGGATGGATGGGTGGATGGATGGGTGGATGGATGGGTGGATGGGTGGATGGGTGGAGAGTGGATGGATGGGTGGAGTGGATGGGTAGATGAATGAATGAATGACAAATTTCTGCTAGTAGGGATCCCCTAGTCAGGGACCTACAGTGGAGACTCCTGACTGGACCAAGCCACAGCTCCCTTTGGGACTGGTCTCCTTGCCAAGGTCTGGTCCCCGCTGACTGGTGTCCCTGCATTCCCTGGCCTCATAGGCCGCATCTTTGCTCCCAGTGCCTTCCTTTGGGACAGCATGTCTCTGGGTATTAATAGCGCTACTTAGCCTTCCTTGTAATTAGACTGAAGCACCGTCACAGAGACTATTTTCCTGCAGAAATTGGCTGCACTGCAGTTGCTCTTTAATTTATGGTGCCCTGAAAAATTAACGGAGCTGAAAGCTTGGTTATTTCCTTGGTTCCTTTCTGTGACTGTACGGAAGGAAAAAGGAGAGAAGAAAAGGCTTAGCTTCTGTTGTGAAAGGAATGAGGAATGTGAGGAAATTAATAACAATGACAGCAGGGCTTTAGTTTTGGGGGGCTTTATGGATTTTCCAGGCTCTCTAACTTCCAAGAAGTGGGGTGTGGTATGGTGGAACAATGCCGGCCTTTGATGCCAACAGGTGTGCATGTTTGTCAGGCATCTGCTGCAGAATGCTGGGTAACACACAGCCCAACACTCAGCGCTGTGCAACAAGCATCGTTTTTTGTTCCCAGGTCTGTGGGTTGCCGGGGCTCTGCAGGCCCTGCTGGGATTGGCTGGACCTGGTTCCCTACTGCTGGAGGGTTCAGGTCCTGCACACCTGTTTTCCTGGGAGCGTGTTCATCTCACGATGGGGGCAGGGTGGGGGGTGGCAGAGCCAACAGCAGCGCTAGCGAGTTGGCTTTGACCTGGAATACGTCACATCTGCGCACATGCCGTCGGCCAAAGCCAGTTACATGCCAAGCCCGCTGTCAACAGCGTGGGCACAAATACTCTGTTCACAAGGATTTACAGGTTTATACAAAACAAAGTGCGCTCCTCTGTTTCCTTCCCTTCAATCTTCCTCCCAGGAGCCTTCTCTCCCTCTAGCAACCATTCTCTCCGCCTACCCTGTTCCCTGCTTTTATTTCCTTCTTTTACTGCCTCATGATAAATCAGGGTGTTCCGAACCTACCTTATTTGGAACCTGGACAGGCTTCCTAGGGGAGAGCCTAACAAGCTTTTCTTCCAAGCCTCAGCAAACTGCATTAGGCTCCTGGGATCAATAGGATGTGAGGGCCTGGCAGTCCCTCCCACACCAGCTGGGGACCACTGGTGCAAGACCGACCAGCTCGGACCTTGGACCTGCTCACTGGCAGAGCCCTGATCACGTCCTTCTAAGACATAGTCAGATTCACTTATTTTATTTTATTTTATTTTATTTTACTCTCTTCTGCTTCCCATCACTGTGAGAAATTGACCTGAGCCTGGGACTGCCTTCCAGAAACTTACAGGGGAGAGAAGGCACCTTTGGGTGGGCAATCAGGGAAGACTTTGGGAAGGCAGAATGTTCAAACAGAGGCTTAAAGAGTGGGTCAGACTACACGTTTACTTTTTAACACAACCTCAGACCAATAAAGATGATCACACAAGAAAGGAAAGAAAAAGAATCCCCCCCCCCATCCTCCAGTCCTAAGTAGAGCAGTGCTCGCATTTATCCCTGTTAGAGAAGGTTAAAGGGCTGTCATGGCACCGGGGTGTGACACGGAAGGGGAGGACTCCTGGTGACATGGAGTGGGCAGAGGCGCAGGCTTCACCTTTCATGCTGTGAGCATCAGCAGGTGCACGGGCTGCCTAGCCAGGCTGCGAGCTTCAACATCACGCTTATAGCTCTGTCTGACCTCAGACTTCAGAACCAGGAAGGAATTGGACTCCTCTCAAGCAACAACAATTTTGTGAGCATTGAGAATCTTTCCCCACAGGGTTTGCTCCCGTTTGCTCTGACCATCTGCAGCTGCCGGGGCTCAGGACAGGAACAACACACCACTCTGAATATTTAAGCAGAAAGTGGATTTAGCATGAGGGATAAAGAGCTTTCTAAATTATTGGGAGAGCTGGAGGAGGGGGCTTCAGGCCGCACCCCCAAGGATGCCCCCCAGAAGCCTGCGATGCTGACCACCAGTGGAGGTTCTACCTCTGCCCACAGGAAGGTGGAACCAGGTACCTGCTGGACTTCCCATGGTGAAAAATGCGTGGCTGGTGCAGCTGAAGCCACCACCACCACAGCCCCCACTGCCTGGGAACATCCATGAAGCGAGCGATTGTACACTGGAATGCAGAGTCCAGCACTGCCTCCACCACAGCTACCTCTGCATCCTGCAGAGCTGAGGATGGACGCTGGAGCATGTCCCCATGACCTTGCTAGCCAGTAAAAATGCCCAAGTGGACAGGCAAATGCCTCCCTCTCACTTTCGCCTTCCAAACCTCATGTGCATGCCTCCATCTGACCCAGCGCTCTAGCTGCAAGGGAGTCTGACAACACCGGGTTTTAGCACTCCAGCCCCTGCAGTACAAGGTGCCCTGGAGTGAGGGAGGAAAGGCAGGATGCTGAGCACATCCAGATGCCGCTAGGACCCAGGGCAGAGTGCAGCACCTCTAGTAACCGTGTGAGTCCCCCGACATGTGACCCTGTGTGTGCACCTTCCAGAGGACCTCATCCTGACTCTTTACC